CAAGCTGGGGCTAAGCATGGCCCATGGAATTGTCTGTTTATGGAATATCATCAATTCATAACCAACTTCTTAAACTTTATCAGGATAAACTTTTTTGCTAATATCAACATAGTGATTAATGCTAAGGAGTATATTGAACTTAGATAACAAAGCCTGTTGTTTTTCTGTTTTAAGAATTACGGAACAGATAGACTTTCTTTCTTTTGGACTAAAAAAACAATCTGCTAATGGTCCATTGTTAGTGTTACCACCACTAGAAGTAGAAGAATCAAGAAGCATTCCTGTTTTCTTGCGTACATTTTGAATAACTTCTTTTTGCTGTCTTCAGAGCAGTTTTTACCCTTATGTCCTGTTCAGACCATGTGTGGGTTTGTTGGCCCACAATGTGATATAAGAACTTCAGACAGTGGTCAGGTGCACGTAGCTTTTGATGTAGAATGGCAAAAAAATTTTACATCTGATTCAACTATATGTTCATGGCATTGTCCATGTCTTTCAGTATCTTTGTAGGAGATTTCTAGTCTTCTCCAAGTACTGAGCACATCATTATAGTTTTTATCTATGGAAAACCCATGTAGTATACATACCAGGTCATTTGCATCATCTCTAGAACATTTGCAGTAGTGACAAAAAGCTCCAGAATCACCCACCAATAAATTTACCATTTTGCCATCAACCATACTTATCTCTGTTTTTACAAATATTTGCAAACCATTTTCTGAAAGAATAGGCGAAGTTTCATTTTTAGGCAGTTGGCTCAGAGTTGGTTTAAAATACTCTTTTACACTCTCCCTAGTTTCTTTTGCTTTCACTAGAATAACAAGTCTGGAAAAATTAATGGAGTTAGGGGTTGGATTAGTCCAGATAACTTGGTTTTTTGAATCTTTTATTTCAAGGGGACACCAAAAAGAACAAATATAATTTGTTCCTTTTAAGTCTGTATTTTGAGGATCAGAAAACTGATGACGATAGTTGTGATTTCCAGATCCATCAAGTCCAAATTTACCCTCTACATGTATAGAATGATTTTCAGCACAAAATCAAGATATATCAAGTAGAACCTCAACAGTGTCTTTGATAACACTGTTCACAGGGGATGAAGTTTGTTTGTCATCACTACTCAATTCCTTTGGTAGCAAAGAACGTTTAAGGGTATCTACATCATTCCTTGTTGGCAACATTAGTTTTGGGAGAAGCTCAAGTCTCAGCTCCTGGGGAAATATATGAAATTTAAACGTACAATTATAAAAACAATTAATTACAACAGTATTTGATTGCATATTTCACCTGATATTTATTTATGGATAGATCCAAGTTGTAGATTAAAGCAGTTGCTTCCTGTACTGATATTGTTGGAAGTTTTACTCTTCCTTTCCCCATCTTTTTTTACATCTTTGGAAAACTTCTGAAAAGTATTCTGATTTATCTACTCACTGTTCACTTGCATGTTTTTCCACGATGTCCACAAAATCATCCAGAATTTTGTTGTAGATACGTTTTTCAGGTCGATCGTTGAATTAAATAATAATGCATTATGAAAAGTAAAAAAATAGCTACTAGGTGTCCCAAATAACATGATGCTTAAGAAATTCAAATAAATGTCAACAACTAAACTTTTACCCTAGTCTTTTTGATTTCCTTCCTCTTTTAGCTTGCGAAGCTCCCTCTTCTTCTACATCACCCCTGGATGATGATGATGATGCTGCTGCAGGTAGATTCTCGGGCAGTTTTATCCCCACTTTGTTTCTCCAAATTTCCGATTTGGCCAAAAGTTTGTTTTGTTTCAACTTTAAATATTTTTTTACGTGTCTGTCATTTTGCTTTAAAATTTTCTTGATGTTATCTTTTTCATCTTCTATAGTTAGATTATATCTCACTTTGATTGTTTTTAAAATAAGCTTAGATTTTTCAAATGAACTTAATTTGATGTTCAAGGTTAGTAAAATTTCTTCTAATTCTCTTTTTTTATCAATAACATTTTGTCGCATGTTATCAACAGATATTCCTGAATTGTCCGTGAAAGTTGATTTTCATAATTACGCAACCTCGAATATCAACTCGTACACACAATTAAAATTCAAATTTAAATTACTCAATTTCTGGGGATAACTGGACTGTGAAATTTTTACACATAAAAATAGAAAGTCTATATTTAATAAAACATTTGAGTTTATTTGCGGCCTCCTGCAGCCTTTTTTTTGCTGTTACTTTCTTTTTTATTAAAAATATATATTTTCATATATTTTAGAATTTTTTAAGGTATAAACAAAACTGCACAAAAAAAATGTTTAAACTTTAGTTTTTATTTTTCATTAAGTAATTCACAAATTAAATATTATTTACAGACCAGGAAAGAAAAAAAATTTTAAATTCATGGAGTGGTTTTTAATGTATAGCGTTTCAAAGTTGCTGTTAAAAATAGTATTGGTACAATTTTAAGACAAATATTTTGTGTCAATATTTTCTTCAATTTCAAACAGCTATAAAAACAAAAGGGTTC